GATGTGCCGTGTAACAATTATTGCAGTAGGGTAATAAAAGCGCAATTTCCCCTTCTATCTTCAGTAAATGTAGATACTTAAGCAGATTGGCTGTGAGAATAACGAGACCGGTTAGAGCACAAAATTGCAAACCTATCATTTCTACTGCTTTTCTACATATAAAGACTAAAAAACGCTTTTCAATAGTTTCTCGCGACATTCGCACAATAAAATTTTATAAAAGATAACTAGTGTATTTACATGAAGATGGAAACATCTGTCGTTTAAAGAGCAATGGCCGTTCTCTTGCCAAAAAGAGCGGACGGTTTTCGAATAACAGATACATTTTAAAATATCGAGGAACCTATTAATGCTATTACGAGCTCTTTCTATGTAAAGGCGGCGAGCATTCCTATTTTTATTGCAAGATAACTACATGTACGTAGTCAGTACAGATGTCGATCCTGTTTATGAACATGCTACGTGCTTTACCACAATACAGTTTCTGATATGTCTTAAGTATTTCTCTATTGCAAAATCAACTTGATTCCTTTCAGATTTTAACCGTAGTATCTGTGAGCTGTGCTCTAGCTGTGCATTTTACACCCTGTCAAAACCAATACACAACAAAATGAGTCAAACTTGAATCAATTCATGATAAAACTTCTTTTAGTTCATCGAAATCTCATTTCCCTCCACCGACATCGTGATATTGTCAAGAAGAATGGTGTTAAGAATTTTACAATATGATCAACTTGATCAAATAAAAAAAGTCAAATGACATCAGAGAACAATAAAGAAGCATGCAGTTTGTAAAATTATCATTTAGCTGAGGGACGGATAAAAGGATAATTAGTCACAACGCGAGGATTTCAATTTGTGTCCTGCAAACCTGTATATGTATCATCAATATTCTTGTTGATGAGGTTGGAAAACCCCACAACAGAAAAGAGAAGCAGTTCCCCTGTAGGAAGGAAAATTCATACACTTTTGTCTCTTCTGTTTACTTTTTATTAAAAATGCGTGAACATAACATTTTACTTTGCGCAACAGTGGGGATTTTGTTCAGCGTTTCGAAGGAAATAAAATATCACCTTTATATTTCTTGTTAAGAGGATGAAAAGCACGAAATAAAATATATATGGAATATTGTTATCGGTCGCCATGAATTAGCAATAAGTTTAACAACGATTCATCTTGTAACTGAATTCTAACCAAGCTTAGTGATCACATTACAAGTCCTATTTCTTATTTCAAAATTTAATTTCATAAGAAATTGGTTTCTTATTACCTGAATAGAAGCTTTTAAATTATTTCACAGATGGCTTCCTTAGATACATATATTACTCCACACGTAAAAACAATGCAAAACAAATCCCAATCATAAAGCTCAATTCGATTATTTTTTCTTTTTATTTCGAGTTCCTATTTTTATATTCTTAGTCTAACGTAAGATTTTACTTTGTGTTTATTACCCTTTCTTGTTGCTTTTTGCTGACCACAGATAATGACTTTTTTTCTCCGTTTTCATAAACGGGTGCATATGGGAGAATATCGTTAGAACTTCTAGAGCCTATTACGATCCGCTTAGGAACTGAAAAATAAGAGATAGTATTGGGAAGGTATTAACCGGCTAAGGGAAGATCCGTACGGCAAAAAACTCCGACATCGAGCTTAAAAATGTTGCCTTCTAGCGGAGATTAATACAGGGAAGTTACATCGCAAAAAAAAGTTTTGGTTTACGAGTGGTTGATAAAAGAAAAAGAATCCATTTAGGACGCGATCCGTAGCCTTGAAATTCGGGGCTTAAAAAATAAGCCAGTGTTCATTGAAATGTAAAAAATTTTAAGGGTAAAGAAAATTTGTCATAATTTGGATTTCAAAGTCAAATATTGTTATGGAACAATAAAAACGTTGGTTGATGATGAACAGTCAAGTTAGTCATAATTTAGTCAGTTCCCACGTTGGGATCAAAAGGAGAAAATTAGTTTTCAATTCACCGCAACATTGTATGAACTAGTTATTAAAACTGTTCAGAAAGAGAAGGGAGAAAAAAAAAAAAAAAAATATACCTTATTCAAATTTCTCTTTTGAGGTGGACATGGACTTGAAAAAATTACGTGATGGAAATTTGTGTTTTGAAAACAGCAATGAAAACAGCTGTAAAAACCTTTACCTCTGTGTGGATTAATTCTCTTCTGTTTATGCGGATAAATGCGATCAGATTCTTACAGAGTAAAGGGACAATCAACATTCAGATACTAAACATAACATCTTTGTTTCTTTCTGTTCTCATATCATAATTGTTTAATTCATCTCTCTCGCTCACTATACGGTATAAACGTTAGATTTGAAAGTAGTGAGCATTTTTTTTATGGATATAAAATTAGCTTCCTAGATGTCAACAGATGGCGATCCTTTCGATGAAATTATTTTACCACAATATTCATTCTAAACTATTGTTGCTCCCTGACTTATAATTCTGTGACTCGATTATTTCAGTTTCTTTCTCTGTTTCCTCCAAAACTCTAAATGTATCATCAACATTCTCGCTGAAGAGGTTGGAACAGAACAGAAAAGAGAAGCAGCTTCTTTGTAGGAAGGAAAATTCATACAATTTTGTAAATTATTTCTTCTTCATTAAAAATGCATTAACATAATATTTACTTTGCACAACGGTGGGGATTTTGTTCAGCGTTTCAGATGGAATAAAAATTACCTTCATATTTGACGAAAAGCGCCAAAGATTAAAATAAAAAGGAAACGATTAATTTTATTTGAAAATTTTATGGAAAAATATGGCCGACTTTATGTAGATGAAGTTAATATGAAGATCGCTTTCTTATTAGGTGAATACAAGCATTTAAATTATTTCACGGATGGCCTCCTTAGCTACATATATTACTCCACACGTTAAAATAATGCAAAAGAATCCCATTCGTAAAGCTCTTTCAATTATTGTTTTTTTTAATTTCGTGTTCCTATTTTTGCATTCTTAGTCTAACGTAAGATTTAACCATGTGTTGATTGCTCTTTCTTGTTGCTTTTTGCTGACCATAGATAATGACTTTTTTCTCCGCTATCATAAAATATCGAAAGCTTAAAAAAATAACAAGATTCGAATTCAGTTTCTATGTAATTCTGCATGCAGAAATGCCATCCATCAATCATATGGACCCTAAATTTTACTGGTATTTAAGGTTTCCGGTATTCCTTTTTCTTTTTTTCAAGGAAAACAGGTATCGAGAAAAACAAGATTCATCATTCATGTGCCATCCAGAATAAACCGTATAGTAAAATATCTTGTGGTTTTCAATCTACGTAATGGATCGAAGAAGAGATTCGGCATTTTTTAAATACAGTTTTCTTAGAGTTAGTTCTCAAACTAGCAATGATTTCCAAAAGTCACGTGAAATGATGGTGTACAGAAAACGAATGTCAATCATTTCGTCGAGTATAAAAGCATGCATAAAAATCATTTTCTATTTGAATGAAAACAATTATTATATGTCACTGAGTCTACCTGAATCATATTTACAAATCTCTGTTGGCTTGATGTAAGCTTACAGTGAATATTGAGGTGGTTCTAAGGTAAGACAACATATCACTTCTGCTTCCAGTATTAGAACATTTAAACCAGCGTCTGATGAGAAAAGAGAAAATTGTCAATGTGCGGAGTCAATCGACGACAGTGTCCCTCAAATTGACAATGAAACGGACAGATTGATTGAGAGCAAATAATTGTGATATGTTTTTTTATGAAGAAAGGAAAACCAAAGGCCTGATTATCAACTTGGATGGATACCGATTGCTTTGGGACTGATGGAAGCAACTTAATTAACACTTTTAAAGTCGTACTTGGATACAACTCTTAAACGAGTTCTTAACAAGTATGCATATAGCTTGTAAGTAAAATAAATTTTAAATTTACGTTGGCAACGATGTCTACTGGAAGGAGAAAAATTTAAATTAAAAATAGAAACAAAATTAAGCATATAAACTTTACTTCCTTAGCATAAAACATTGTGATGGTATCTTCAGTGGCCAAGTGGAGTTTCATCCTTGTTTTCTGTAAGCACCTCAGCTGTTTCCAACCACTATCTAAAAATTTTAAGCTGTTTTAATTTTTTCTAATGGAGGGGAAGAGGAGAGAGTTAAAGGACGGACGGACGAAGATGGCATCTGCTGAAAGATGAGCAAGAGATCGTTATCTCTTGAAGATGAGTGTATCATGCAGCTTAACTAGGCATGTGAAATGGGGTGAATTCTTTGTTGGAAGATGTCCAAGACTTCAAAAGTGTCCTATCTGAAGTCCAAATAAGGGTCTGCTGCCTATTCTACCGGTGCATTCATTTAATGATATTTAAATATCTTTCAAGTTTAATAAAAATTCATTCAAATTAATATTCAATGAAATAATTCCACGGAAACATACTTGAAAACCAGTAACTAACCAACTTTCCCCATCCTCGATACACTTTTTTCCACAAGGAAACTAAGTTTACGGTCTTAAACCGGTGAACCGGTGGCAATTTGGAATCGGAAGCTACCTAAAGCTTGGTGAGCCCCAGCCCTGACCGAAAAATATATGTTGTGTTATTGAGCAAGTTTCTTCATAGAAAGTCTGTGCTTATTTTTTCGTTTAGTTTATCTTGTTTCTGTGAACGAGATAGCTCATTTGAACCTTTGCGGAGTAATATTTGGATTGTTTTTAAAATTCTATTCACCTTGAAGTTTTGAAATCTCTTTAGTTTTCTCCCAGCTCGAGCGGAGGTCGATCTGTGGGTATTGCTTCATTCTCTCCTGTGCGGAGAGAGTGAAGCATATGTTTTTACATAAGGTTTGTGCAATGGTTTTAAGTCTAATAGATGATTCAGAAGTAAACGTGCTTGCAAGACAGAGCTCATCTTTTATGCCACCGCTTTTTGTATTACCTCATTCTTTCTTTTTCATGGTCTTTATGTACCATCTATAATTTCTTTATAATAACCAATTGCTTTTGTTGACTTGTTGCATTTATTTCAGGTTTGTTTGAGTATGATAAGCAAGCACAAGGATGGGAACGAGTCCAGGAGCTTAACGAAGCAAAAGTTCTCTCAGTTCCAAAGGGACACTATGTGGAATTAAACTTCACCATGCGCGGCAAGTGGCCACTGCTGTGCCTATGGGATATTAATCTTGAAATTCGTGATGGCAGTAATCAGTCGGCCAATTTTCTCGGTGAATTCTGTGGAGATTACGGAATTGGAGTGGTGCGATCCAGTGGACGATACATGTGGTTGAAACTTATGTGGAAAGAGCTATATGATTTCGCTGCATTCTATATTGACAGATCCACCGATGAAACAGGCATGGAGTTCCTTCCTATATAAATAAATATACACCCAACTTGAAAATATATATTAATTATATATAGCTTTCCCTTTTTTGAAAATATTCGTTTTCAAAAACGTTGCAAATTTGTAAATATATATCAAATACGAAAGCTAAGTTTTTCGTTTGTCTCACGATGTAGTCACGTGTGATGTAGATCGCGACGTTTCGACTGCATACTGCTAGTCTTCTTCAGGCGATGAGGTCGACTGGTTATGCGAATATGTGAATTGCCTCTTTGACCCTGCGCCTGCAGTAATAAGGGTCACGGTCAATAAATTTTACTTCGTTCCAGAGTGGCTTGTGTCCGGTGTTGTGGGCATGCTCTGAAACGGCGGAGGTCTCGGTACGGGCGAGTCGAATGTCTCGATCTTGCTCCTTAATTCTGTCTTGCATAGGTCTTCCAGTCTCTCCAATGTATACCTTGCCACATTCACAGGGAATTCTGTAAACTACGTCATCTTGTTTAGCCAGGTCGACAGCATCTTTTGGTCGTACTAACTGAGATCTTAGCGTAGTCTCCGACTTGAAAACAGCGCGCACGCCTTGTTGTTGTAGGCAACGACGAAGACCTTATGTCAAATTCCAAAAGCGTGGATGCCCACGATCAAAAAACACAACAACAGGAGAACCTGGACTGTATCACCCATGTTCCAAACACGTCGAGACCGACGCTGGTAAAGGGAGGCCAAATCTCCTCTCTGTCTGGTAAGACAGTAGAAGACCAAGTAGTTTCTTGCACAAGATACAAGAACTGATCAACTTGGCTATGGCTCCATGGCTTGCTTATCAGCCAATATCCGGCATTTCTCAGAGCTCTAGACTGCGAATGTCTTTCGCTAGATCCTCCAACGCAAACACTAACGCATTACACTCACGGAGTTTGACACCAGTTTATGGAGCCTGAGGTTTGCACTGGTGAGAGTGGCTTCGGTGCTCTTCACCAAAGTGATGACTTCATCTGCAGTAGGCGTCGAAACCAGGCCATCATCGACGTAGGAATTTCTTTCGACGAACTCCTTGACGTCAGCCTCCTCGCCGTGCTTTACCGTTTTCCTCAGTCCGTAAGTTGCCACAGCTCAACTTGGCCTGTTCCCAAACAGATGGACGGTCATCTGGAATTTTGCGATTGGCTTCGAAGGGTTGTTCTCCTCAAACCACAAGAAGCGTAGGATGCGATGCTCTGGTGAGACAAGGAACGAATGGAACATTTGTTCTACATCACACACCGCAGTCACGTCTTCGCGTCAGAAGCGGACAAGTACTCCGAGTAGAGTGTTCATCAGATCTGGTCCAGCGAGTAGTTCACGGTTAAGAGATTTGCCTTGGTATTCTGCGGAGGAATCGAAGACGACTCGAATCAGTTCCGGTTTTTTTAGATGATACACGTCGAAGTGAGGCAGGTACCATATTCGTCCAGGGTCCTGGTCCAGCGAGTAGTTCACGGTTAAGAGATTTGCCTTGGTATTCTGCGGAGGAATCGAAGACGACTCGAATCTGTTCCGGTTTTTTCAGATGATACACGTCGAAGTGAGGCAGGTACCATATTCGTCCAGGGGATTAATTGCAGGATATCTCTCTGTCAGGGACCAGCACTGCATGACCCTTGTCTAGCATCTTCGACATGAATTCAATATAATCTTTCTCCATTTGTGGTTTGCGTTTTGAGGTGCGCGCAAGCCTATGTAAGCACTCTAGCTTCTGTTGTTAGGCATGAAGACATTTGTTGAGCAAAAGGGTAGGGGCATTTCCCAGTTCCCGAGCTGGTTCTTGTGAATTCCTTTGTCCATGATCTTCGTGAACCTTCGGTCTTCGATCGACAGACTGACGTCATAATCATTCCGGGTTACGCTGACCTCTCTGTTACTTCCAAACGTTGAAAGGAAATACTTCCACTCCGGGCCGTCCGCATTCAACTTGTCCGCCAGCTCGGTAGAAATAATTGAAGCGTTGCTCTGGACATCCAAAATGGCGTATGCACTATGGGCGCCTCACAGTGATTTTCTCCGTAGATATCGACCGATACACTTTTGCTGCAGGAAAGTCCACCGGGGGTGCCTTTGCATACCAACGTGTATTTTGCGTTCACGTTGTCTTGGCTGTCGTCGACCGTGCCTGCTTCTTTTGCTCTCTCCTTTTTCTCTGCACTGCTCAAATGAAGAAGGTCGAAGTGCCTTCGGCTGCCACATATTCTACACTTCACGTTCTCCCTATACTGGCTAAATGATGAAATTAGAATCAGTGGAGACTTAGCCTTTCCTTTATATTTGTTACTCTTCGTCCGTATCTGACCTCCTTGGTACTTCCACACGTTAAAAGTAGATACTTCCATTCCGAGCCGTCTGCATTCAACTTGTCCGCCAGCTCGGTAGAACTTGTACGCTCCTTTTTTGTCTTGCTTATATAGATCAGTTAGCTTCGACTGAATGCGTTCAAAGTCCTCTGTCACGGCAATAAGTTGAGCAGCATGTTGCCGGAGCATGACTGCAGTTCTGCTGTTTGTAGAGAATCTATTACCCGCAAGAGTTTGCGTTCTTTACCCCCTGAATTTTTCGTCTGTTCTCTATGGTATATGTTAATGTCTCTTGGGTTATTACTAGGTGTCCATTCGCGGTGATATCTCCCGCTGGATCTTCTTGTCGTTTCGACATGCTATGGTTTTCTTTTCACGTCCACCGTTTGCCAATATTTAAATAACGGCTTACCTCAATGTTCTCCAGTTATTGGGCGTCTCGGCAATTTTTTCCACTGTCGCGTTCTCGATTGCGGTTGCACGTCAATCGAGATAACGCCGTTGAAATCGTGTACCACGCTAGCACATTAACTCTCAATCTGGCTTATAGAACAATGCTTTAAATCATATACATATTGAAAAATCAAGGGCCAAATAAGCAAAAATACTCGAACCGAAGAAGTGAAACAACGAAAATAACGTCGAAAAAAGCGATCACTTACATTGTCTAACTCCTAAGAGAGAAAAATACGAGGCATTTTCCTTCTGCTTTATTTTCCTAGTGCGATTTGAAACCTCTAAGTTTTCTTCCAAAATTAGTTATACGAATTACGATTATTAAACATTAACTATAAAAAAAAAAGTTCGAGGCTGACTCGCGTCACATAATTGGCTATTCAGTCTTTGGCCGCTAAACAATTCAGTTCGAATATACCTTTCTGTAAATAAATCGCGCGCGTTTCAATAATTCACCAAAATGTTCATTGGAAAGTACAATTAAAAAAATGATGCTAAGTTTAACATGAAAACCAAATTAAAAAAATTTTGGCACAGGAGGGTTTACCGTATCCTTAAATGACGCAGACAGACAGGCGGAGACAGAGAAAGGCGCAGAAGGATACAAATAGTATTCACATGTTGCTTTGGCCTGAACATTGAATTGTGTCAGGATTAGAATGATATTTTTTGATGTGGACGTAAAATGGGTTATCCTCCCATGCTGTGTCTAAGATTTAGTTGTTCTGTGTACATGCACCGTAGTCATTTCAACAATTACTTCCTTTTTTTCTTTGAAATCTAATATAGTCGATCCTACGATGGACCCAGCTCCAAACCCGCAGTATGTATTTTTGAACAGAACCTCTAACTTGTGGTGCCCAGTAAAAGGTGCGCCGGCTCCATACATTGTATGGAGAAAAGATGGTGACTCTGTTCAAAATAGTACCAGCATAACATTTCAGCATAAAATAACTTCGAAAAACAACGTGAACTACAGCTGCGAGGTAAGAAGAGATGGAGAGGTATTAAGAAGGAACATCAGCCTCATAATTGAAGGTGAGGTATCATTGTTTTTGTTGAAGTATATCAGTACTTTCCGTGCATATTTTGACTGCCTAAACCCGTCCTTTTTTATTTACTCAAAATTCTAACCACTCAAAAAGCGGTTAAACCACTTTCGTTGTTGAACGTTATTTAACCTATCAAAAGTCGTCTTTCTATATCCCTTTAATTTAACCTGTATGCTTTTTCCAGTATTGAATGCTAATTATTGGTAAGGTGAGTTATCTTCTGAAAGGGACAGCGTAAATGATTAGAAGCAAAGGATATTCTCACATTTATACTCCTAAACTTACTTATTTCGATTTCAATTGAAGTTACTATGCCACAGTTTGTCGATTTTGGCGCCTGCATACAGTTTACCTGAAGTTCGTGTTTTCGATCTCTGATTCATGATCAGTTTTCGAACCAACCTCGTTCTTTTTGAAGGGTAATTTTTACGTCGCAACTCTGAAGTGTTCGTTTAATCTTGGTAACTGTGATTTTACCGTTATTTCCGATCCAAATGAAATATTCTTCGTTTCTAAAACAACTGACTTAACCATTTCAAATTTGAAGCCTTTGATGAAGAATTTTAACCGCCATCACTTTCTTTCCTCATTTTAGAGTGCCCAGACCCCTGTGAATGTGACGTCTCTCACCAAACTAGAATTAGTGTGAATTGTAGTGGAAAAGAATTTAATTCAATTCCATGGAAATTTCCTCTTGCCATGTCAAAATTGTGAGTACCACTAAACAGTTTTAAACACCAAGAAAAAAAATTGGTCAAGAGGAATGATTCTACACTAAAAGCCTTATTCGTAAAGGAATCCCTCTCATGCTATCGTAGGTCTACTTCCCCCCTTAAGGCCTTATTCTCAAATGAAGTCCTTTCACGCCATTGTAGAACTCAAATCAACTAGGACAACCCCAGGACAATGTATAATTTACCATGACTGATAGACAAGTTTTGGGAATTCTTCATGGGCACAACGCTCTGCACAGGATTGGCTGCATCTGCCTAGAGTCTACAAGAAAAGATGTGATCTTAAAATAATTGAAGAAAGATCGGCTCAAAAATGAGGCTATTATGTGGGATTTAGTCACTTAATTTGATACTCTCTTAAAACTAGTGACGTGCATGTCCTAAACCGTGCGCGTTAAATATCCAGCTTTTAGAATAATAACAATGTGGAAAATGAGGGATTTGCTTTATAGGATCAACCAAAGTGTAAATTGTTAGTGCAAAATTTGTTCTTGTTGGATTCTTTGCGTGTTCAAAGTTCATTATTTAAGTCCTTTCACCCGGTAACCATAGCGAAAGTTTATACTTATTGTTTCATTAGCGCCTTTTTTGTTATTTTATTGCCACCTTATTGCCCCCCAATTGCTACTTCGCATAATTTATCGATGTACCTATAGCAGTAATATACCTGTTTTCTCGTTTTTAGCGGTAAGCGCAGTTCAGTGATGTACCGCCGTTTTCGCTCGTCCTTTTCCTTTTCTTTTTTTCGGCCGTAGCAGTTTTGCAATTACAATATCAATCTTGGTCTTTTCTGTAACCGTAACAGTGTTAGTGTTTTATGGTCCCTTTTCCGTCGTGTTGTTTGTTATTTCTTTATATCGTATATTATGCCACGTTTTGTAATTGTTTATTATTTTAGTTTCAACTTACGTCATTCCCGCTTTTGAGGAATTTAAGTGGATTGTATTTATTTCTACAAGACGTGGAGTTGTTTTTCCCGTGGCCACAAATTTCGCGCAGTGCAGTTTCATCGTTAAAAATTGATGCGGGTCACGCTGTTCCATCATGAGTAACAGGAGTAGTCAGTTTACGGAACCAATTGGTCGACAAGTCGGTGCTCGTGTGCAACAACCGAGCTGTATATTGGACTTGGAATGCGTTTAGCTGGAAATAATTTGCTCAAAGAAAAATTCGAGATCAGTTTACGCATCCGCCGTTACCGCGAAATCGAGCAAAATTATTGGTTTGATATCAGATGACCGGAACCTTCAAGAAGTGAAAGAGAAGCTTATTGATGTAGATAACGCTTTCCAAAGACTCCAGGAAGCTCATTACGATTATGGCAGCGAGAGTATGGACGAGGATGGCATCCCTAAGTACCAGCTTTATCTCGGAAGTGAAGAAAGAAAATTCGGCTTATTCCTTCAGCAGATTGTCGACTGGATAACTATGACTGAAGAGAAACTCCTCGCAGACTCGCTTCAACTAGATTCAGTTGTAAAACCTGAAGACTCAATAAGCTTTGCTGGCGCGTCAGAACCATGAAAGGCATCAAGAGCCTTTAATGCTTCTAAGCTTTCAAAACTCTCAAGTGGAGCAAGTTCGCGTGGCAGCCGCACCTGATCAGTCGCACTTGCTAGAGCGAAAGTCGCCAAATTGAGGGCCGAAATTGCCATGCTTGAAAAACGTCAAGCTCTCGAGGAGAGGGTTTCTTTTGAAACAGGAAGAGTTCTGCCTTGAGTTGGAAGCTGAAATGGCGAGAATCAGAAAAGGAGAGAGAGCCCTTGCTGCGGAGAATCAGCAAAGGAGAGAGTCCTTGCTGCGATGAACACCCCATTTTTACAGCAGCTATGGCCGGTCAAATTGGAACTGCGGTTCAATGAGGACTATCCAGGAAGAAGTTCCATATTCAAAACAGGGTGATCCTTGTAATTTTATTCTACGTGGCCCACATAATCTTTCTGCGCCCACAGCCAGTGATTTGAGGAGAGAGACCATCGAATTACTACGACAAAAGAACGCCCTTCAGCTTCAACACAACAGGATAGTTGAGTTACTGGCACTGAATCAGAATAGAAGCAAACTTCCGCAACTTAGCTTTCCCGTCTTTGACGGAAATCCCATTGGTTACCGCACCTTCGCTCGAGCTAACGAGAGTTTAATTGAGTCTAGAACATTTAGCAGTACCGACAGGCTGTACTACTTGAAGCAGTTCATGGCGGGAGATGTTCAAGAACTTGTACTTTTCTGTCACCTGCGTGCTCCTAAGAGAGAAATTTGGCGATGAATAATACATAACATTCGCTCACGAGACAAAAGTTTTAGACTGGCCAAACATAAGAGCTGAGGATAGTATGGCTTTAGACCGCTTTTAGATCTTTTTGGCAAGCTGTAAAGGCGCTCTGGCAGGAAGTCGATAAAGCTTAAAGTTCGATTAGACGGGAAACATTTAAAATTTTGTGCTCAAGCTTCCTTACAATTTGAGAGAGAGATGGCGTCGTGCAACCAACGACATTATGGAGTTACAGTCAAAGCCTGTGGACTTCAGCAACCACATTGCTTTTGTTGATCTGGAAGCTAACATGGTAACCAATCCAGTCTTTGGCAGGATCTCTGACAGCGTTAAACCAGCGACTGTTCAGCGATCATGTGGTGGCAAGACAGCCCCTAAAAGAGCCTGAAAATCTCAGTTTACTAACGCAAGTAGACGGATGTGAATGTTTCTTTAGCGAGAAAGGCCTGCCTGATGCAAGTGGACCGAGCACTCGTGATTATCGAGAACAGAGTTTGCAGTCTAGCGAGGTACAAGTATCGCAAAAAGCGTTGGTGTCTCTATTTTGACAGTAATCGTGCCCTTGAAGATTGTCTGTCATTGTGTGGGAATCCGTACCAAAAATTAATATAGTTTCCGGCGTCCAACAAACTGTGCTTCGTGTGCCTCTCCAATCAGCATATATCCTGATTGCCATTGATGTTCCCCAAGTCCTTGATCCAGTCAAGACGGAGGTCCATACGCTTCAAACACGTATCGGCTGGGCGGTAAACGGACACTTAGGTCATCATTGTCACGATTCTCAGGCATCAGGCTTCTTCGCTAAAGCCGATCTTCAGCTCCAACGGCCGGTTGAGGACTTCCACAATCAGGACTTTGCAGATTTTATCGTTGAAGATAAGACAGAGATGTCTCAGGAAGAACGTCGTTTCATGCAAAACGCTGAAGGAATGGTAGAGTTAAGAAATGGACACTATCAAATCTCTTTACCATTCACAAATCGTCAGGCTCCAGTACCAAACGACATTCCTCAGGCTACGCAGCGCGCAAACTGGTTGAAAAGGAAACTGGAACGAGAGGTAAGATTGTTGGAAGGTTACAAAGCCTTCATGGAAGCCGTTGTGTCTGAGGATTAAGCATGTAAAGTTCACCCTGATCAGAATAATCTCGAAAAAGGCAGAGCATGGTACATACCCCATCATGGAGTATATCATCCCCCCAAACCGGAGAAAATTTGGGTCGAATTTCGCACTCCGTAACACAGCAGAAGATAAAAATGACAAAAAAGGCGCAAATGAAACAATAAGTATGAACTTTCGCTAGTTACGGGGTGAAAAGATCTAAATAAAGAACTTTAAACTCGCAAAGAATCCAACAAGAAAAAGTGTCGCACTTGGAACTTACATACCGGCCCCTAAGTGCGGAGTGCGTGCGAAGCACTTATGTTTTAATTGAATTAGTTCTAAGTATCTCTTTCAAGAGTCCTCGATTAGATGCAGTCGTGAGATACAGGAAAGTCATTTCGGCGGGAAAGCTCAAGCTTCCAAATGCAGGCACAGTTTATCAATCGGTCTCTCTACAACAGTTCTCTTTACTTTCACCTTACCACATCGAACCAAACCTTTCCTGTCCACGTGTTGCGAGGTGAATTTTCTGTGCTGATCTGGACAATATCTCCAACGGCTAGATTTTTACAAGGCAATGTCCATTTTTGTCTGCTCTGAAGCAGGGGCAGATATTCTCTAGACCATCGTTTCCAAAAAGTTTCGGCAAGATATTGTTCTTGTCTCCACCTGCGTCGCCACAAAGAATCCTCGTTTTAGAACGTGCGAATACAGCTTTCCCAAACGCCTCCGAAATTTGACCGATTTGGGGGTTAAATATCCACTTGGTATTCTTCTGTAGTAGAGCCTCATGGATTTTGCTGTGATTCCATGCATTGATGGATTCCCTAAGTTCTCGCTCACCTCCAGTAAAGTTGGTACCATTATCCGATCTGATTTCTCTAACGTGGCCCCTTCTCCCTATAAATCGTCTTAATGCCATCAAAAGAGAATCTGTTTCCAAGCTGTGTGCGATCTTCATGTGTTTTGCACGGATAGCTAAGCACGTGGAAATCCCAACGGACGTCGGACGTAAAGGGTGGTCGCTCAGGAGTAAGACGATCTAACAGGGAGGTCAGCCATTTTCTGTTCATAGACTGGGCCTTGGCGGCGCCGACAGTCAACACACTTGGAGAGTACTCTTCCTAAGACAGAACTGGCATTCATAATCAAAAACTTCTCGCGCGCTAGACTTCAGACAAAAATCTCTGCCAGAGTGCCCAGAGAGCAGATGATAATGCTCAATTACGAGGTTGGTCACGTGGTCGTTCTTGGACAGAATAATCTGATACTCAGCCTCAAATGTTATGGACGCCAAGTTCAATCTCCCACCGACACGCATCAAATCATTCATTAAGATGAGATCCAAGCTTTGAAGAGAACTGCGTGCCCTTCACTCTCACTCTTGTTAAGCGACTCGAGTTTTTCCTGAAAATTAAACTTCTGTACACTCTTGAGGATCTCTAGTTCTGCGAATTCCATCTCGTCAACAATGACCAAAGGCAAAGAGCTGGTAAGGACAGATTCAAGCGGCTTTGCTGGTTTCTCGCGCTTTTCAAAGCTTCGCAAGTTTTTACGGTATCGTAACAGCCACGTAACTGACTTTTTCAGGCTATGCCGGTAAAATGTTATCTAAAAGTACTCGACCAAAGGGTAAACAGACTCAAATATCGACGCCAAGAAGAGCTTGCCGACTGCCATCTCCTTCTGGGATAGTAACGAGCGACGAAGGGTCCTGAGGCCAATCTCCTTCCGGCTTCCATAGGAAGTTTAGCCCATTAATCATCTTTGGCAAGTCATCAAGGCTTCGGCGGTCGCCCCTCTTGACCGTTTTTTTTGGCCATTGCAGTTTTGCAATTTCAGTATCAATCTTGATCTTTTCTGTGGCCTTAACAGTGTAAGTGTTTAATAGCCCTCTTTCCGTCGTGTTGTTTCTTATTTCTTTATATCGCATATTGTTTGTTATTTTAGTTTCAACCTCCGTCGTTTACGCCGTTGAGAAATTAAAGTGAATTGCAACAGTTATTTCTACGAGACGTGGAGTTGTTTATTCCGTGGCCACAGATTTCGGGTGGTGCAGTTTCACTAAGAGTGCAATTAGTTGTGAAGCCACGCTAACGAAGGATTTACACTGAACTTAAGTTCTAACTCTCAATTTTAAACAAAGGTCGCAGCACGCGAAGCTGAAAACGTCCCGTATCACCTCACTGAAAAAAACATAAAGTTATCAGTCCAGTTTAGTTCGTCTGCCGATGTGGCGACGAACTTACTTTGCGCTACTTTTTCACCAGTGTAATAATTGACCAGAAATCAATTGAACTATCCTCCTGTCTGGGATACACAACATTATTTATATGGCGAATACAAATAAAATTAAATTCTTCGACATAGAAATTTGAACTATAAACAATTACTTAATACCAAAGGAAGTAAAAGAACGCCAATCATAAGAAGCACGGCATGAGCCAATTGCTAGTGCTGCTCTGACCATTGCAAAGACTTAGTGGCCAACTGGTGCGGGTGTTTGACTCCAGATTGACAGATCCGGGTTTATGCCCAGGCCAGCTCATTGTGTTTTGTTGTTAGGAAACAAATTGTGCTTTCCAGCCAGGGGCTAAAACCAGAGACGACGAAAACTACATACACACCGAAAACTACCGATTAAGTTCCCGGCAATGGGCTATCATTCCCTCTAAGAGGAGTACCTTTACCTTCAGTCTCCCAATGCTTCAGAAGTGACAAAAAATCTGCGGTAATGGATCATTAGGCTAGCGAGAGTAACCTATGATTCAACACACGGTCAGACAACGCGTCATCATCAACATAATCATGCTATGTTCAGTGTTAATATTCCTTTAATTTCCAAGTGTGGTAAAAGGCACTAAAATACTCTACATTAAGGTTTCATAGAAGTATTGGGTCCACGACTTATTAGTTATCTATTGGTTGCTTTCTTTATATATTTCCTTATAGTTTTGACTATGAAGATGTACCTTAAACGTTTCTAACGATATCTTGGTAGGTACTTAAGCAACAACAAGCTGAGGGACTTGCCCAATGGCATCTTTAGTAATTACACCCAGCTGGAATGGCTGTAAGCCAAGACTCATTTTTATCGATCATAAAGTGATTAATAAAATCAGTATTTAACACGTTCGTAATGATTCTTGATAGGAATGTGAGTAGCAATAAGCTAAAGAACTCCTCTCAGAGTAATCTACGGTTGTAATGCCGAGCCTTTCTAGCTCCAAAAATCATGTTCAGCTCCTCCCAACCTTTGCATGAACTCCTTAAATATACCTGAACTCATTACTTCAGTCACAGTGTCAGTGACACTGACTGACGTATGATCTTGTAGCCCGATCGTCCGGGTACGGGTAGTCCTGAGAAGGAATGTTATTGACTGGCACCAATTCTTCCATCGACCCATACGGTGACCTCCGCCGGATTTATCAAAACGTTGGACACTGGTTCCGAAAGTTACTACGGGAGCGAAATTACGAAGGGGGAAACTTCCAGTTCCCCTCGACCGCATCACTGGTGATCTTTGGTGTCACTGATCTCGGGAGAAGAAACAAATTTCTAGGATTAGATTTTCCTCAAGAAAATGAAAAGTGCCCCTACCTCCCTGCCCTGCTATTTACCCAAAACCCTCCCTCCTTTAGGCTCCTAGTTTATTTAGAGCTTCCCAATCTAAGAATTAAGGCACAGTCCCCAAAAATAAAAATACTCAACGTGAAAATGGTACATATACACTTGCAGTTCTGGTTAAGCACAAAATAGGTTAGATTCATGGCTGATGGAAAATAAAGGATTACGTAGCTTTTTTGAGCACCTATAACAAAGCATGCAAGGAAATACTGCATTACCGGATAAACTCCTTAATTTAACGTTATTATCGAATAAATCGTAATGAACACCACCCTCTGTCACTTTTTGGCAGGGAAATGAACAACAACCTGTTGAAGGAATTACCATCAGGCATATTGAGTAACAATACCAAGCTTTCCATTCTGTAAGTTAGGGCCCTTTCTTCTTTTTGTAAAGAATGCCTTAAATCCATCTCACACTGGGCAAGATACCAACAGATCAGAGCACGCTTACTCTTTACGGTAAACATTCATAGCTCTGATCAGACAGAGGCACCGAAAATGAAAGATTAAAACAGAGATTAAATGAACCAATCAAAGTGCTTACAAGAATACATTTGCTGGAGAGTGTAGAACCAGGGTAAACAATCTGATCTAAGAACAATATCTTGTGGGATCCCTCAGGGTTCAACTCTGGGTCCACTTTTAATTTTGGCGTCAATTAATGATTTGCCAAATGCCTCAAACACACCACACCTCGAATGCTTGCCGACGATATCAGCATAACAGCCAACGGGAAAAGTATTGACGAAATCGAATTGGGGCTTAATGAAGACTTAGGTAAAATTAGATTATGGCTACAAGCAAATAAGCTCAGCCATAACGTTGAGAAGACAGAATATATGTTCATCGGTTCACGTCAAACATTGGCTAGGCTTTCCTTTGAACCAAACGTTTGCATTGGAAGAGATCCCTATCAAAAGAATCAAATATACCAAAACACTCGGAGTTTACGTTGATGATTCTCTAACGTGGAGCAAGCATGTAAAAGAATTATCTTAAAATATTACACCAGGAATTAGTGCTTTAAAACGGCTCAGATATTTTGCAAGTCGAGATGTACTGTTTCAGTTCATAATGCACTAATTATGCCTCATTTTGATTATTGTTGTAAGGTTTGGGATGTATTAGGTATACTAGTCGAAAGGCTGCAGAAACACCATAAAATATGTGCTAGGGTAATTATGCGTTACAAAAACGAGGCTGGAAAGTCTGAATTAGTCCTACATCATCTTGGCTGGAGTTTACTGAGCGAACAAAGAATTCTTACTGAGGCTTTAAGGTTCTCCAAGACTTGGCACCTGCGCAGCTTTCGAATATTTTCAGGGACTCATGCTCGAACAAAAATTATCATTTAAGTAGCACTGATAATTACTTGGCCATTCCTTTGCCAAAGACTGAATTTTTAAAGAAGAGTTTGAGCTTTAATGGTGCTAAGATCTGGAACTCCTTTCCAAATGAAATACGTAGTTCTGAAACTTTGGCTTCGTTTGATGAGCTTATTTCAACCTATAGACCAACTGTGAAATAATTTATTTCTTATGGATTATATTTAATGCATTGATAGCTTAATTCATGAATATTAGTGTATACATATATATTTTAAATAGTTTTTTAGCTTTTATAGCTGGTTCACGCCCCTACTGGAAACTAGCTTTTTATAATATTAATGATAGGGTAGCGTATTTAAAGAAAGTTAATCTATCAATCTATCTAGTGACATGGCTCAACTGTGGCAGACAATGAGTATATAGCTTCTTCCTAAGCGCCACTGAAAAACATTTTTGATCATAGAAATTTCTTGAACTTTGTTCACGAAAACAATGTTGATAACACCATTTTGAATTATTTTTGGTAGGTTTTTAAGAAACAACAATTTGGAAAAATTGCCATCGGGTATTTTTGATAACAACATCAAGCTGACTTACTTGTAAGTTTGGAGCCTGCCTTATTAAGTAAAGAACGCGTTAAATCCATACCACGTCAGCGAGAATATCATCAGAACTAAGCAGCGATTTTAACATTTTCCTTAGCCCCATCTTAGTTTCATGGAATAGTCACCTTTTCAATCACTACATTCCTAAATCTCGCACGATAAGTTTCCTCGCACAAAAACTGGCCAGTTTGGTTGAAAGAAAACTCAGTAAAACAAAGAAAAGCTTCTATAAAATATCATCCAGTGAATCGAAATTGCAAAGCGTCAATCTCTAAACTCTGTGTAATGGAAACAGGTATAGCTCGTTGAAAATCCGGTAAACCAGAGAAAGGAATTTATACAATGAAGTAACATCACATAGCGTCAATCTCTACACTCCATGCAACAAATCGAAACAGGGTCAGGTCAATAGGACACTCCGCAATTAACCTATTGCTGTATCTTTGTGGTATGAAAGTCAGAAGTGCTTGCTAGTGACACTTATGGTGTTTACCGAAGTATTTAGTTTGTTTAGTACGGTTCATTCATTCGTTCACAATTGGTATGTAGTTACTATTAATAGGAATTAAAATTCTAAGTTATTTAGGTTTAGCCGACGCGACGTGGCTTAGTAGCATTTACGGCATTACAGTAATTAGACTCGTGTCGCTTAAGTCACAGATTTGTATTATTGTTCGAGACATCTGTCTTAATAGACCCTTCAGCCCCCAATATAAAAAGCTAAGCTTGTACTTCTTCTTACATGCAGAGAAAATAAAGTTTTTAATTAATTGGTGATTATTTACTCTGATAAAATCAGATTAATCATAAATAATTAATATATAATAATTAATCCAAGCACTGTTCAGCCTTATTTTCCTTAGAAGCATCGAGATACAAAAGGAAGGGGATGATGGCCACTAGAGGCCTATTTTCGCCACCCAAAAGGAAGGGCGTCCCGTTGTCTCGTTCAATCGCACTTGACTTCGAATCTGCTGACAAGGAGGAGTTCGTTAGTTACGAGGGAAGATAAACAGAAGACCATCGATGGAACAACGTTACAAAGTCAAATAGTTTTAATTTTCAATTAAAGAAAAATCCGCCAAGGATTTTTGTCATACACTTTCACGGAAAAACATTGTATAAGCTTGTGCCTATCAGGTTTTTTCCTTCCCAACTTATAAGGGGGTCTTGTAATGGTAGCACAGTGTTACGAGTTATCGTGACCTCGAAGAGCCATGTGCTTTTGAGCTGGCAGGCCATCAAACCTGTTCCAATTTCATTTTACCTCGTATTTTCTGATATTTCGGGCCGCTAACGCTACATGGTTGCATGGCAAATTCCTAGCAAGACAAAGCAGCTTTTAACCTGTGACACGGTGACAGAGTCTTGACAAATATGACGTCGCAAGCAGATAGCAGCAGCAGCGCGTCGGTTCCAAGCCTCAAACAACGCAGCAAATATTTACGAATAAAGTTCCAGTTATTCCAAGGCTGGATCTTCGTGAAGATCTTGAAAAGAATTGGAAATATTAACTTCAACATGGAATTTACCCTCAATTTATACTCGAAGCTGCAGCTGTACGACTATCGAGTAGCGACTTTCATGAGATGTATCGCGACAGAAGCCCTCAATATGCACTCTGGTTTACTCTTTGCATCCAAGGTAGAGAAAGGTAGGATCGATGAAGTCTTAGAGATGTGGAATAGGCAAAAGGAACAAAATATTCAAGCGATAAACAAATTTCAGTCAGAATAGCGCAACCTTTGGCGGCTCAGCGTTCTACCGTCGACATCTCTGCGGACGACACCACTCTCAGTTTCTCATCCGACGTGACAAATGGACTTCTCGGCATCACATCAGCCCTTCACTAAGACCTAGATGACCTTTCGCAGTGGTCGGCTACCAAAAACATGCTCACGAACGCCGCCAAGACGAAATGTCTCTTCGTGTACGGGAAACGCCCTACAAATAAGATCGTCGATGGTTCATTAAATCTTCATCTTGGGAACTCAATTAGGGTGGATAGTAAGAGACTCCTAGTGCTTACCATTGATCGACACCGAAGCTTTAATATTCACGTTGAAGAACTGTGTAAAAAACTATCCCAAATAATAGCAGTCAGTGCTTAGGAAGATAAGAAGATTCCTCCCCATTGAATAGCGCATATCATATTACAACGCCATGATAAAACAACCAGTGTTATGTGGATCAACTGCTTGGTCGAACTGTTCAAGGGAAAACATAACGAGAGTTTTCATGCTTCAAAATTTAGTCATCTTGGAAGCTGGCACAAGGTATAACAGTGTGAAACTCTTTAGGAAATTAGCGTGGCTCCGTTTCTATGACGAAGTTAAATTAAATAAGAGTACTTTAGTCTTTAAGCATTTACAAGGAAGCTGTCCTGCTTATATGAGCGATCTATTCAAATTTATTGCAAACCTACACAGAAGAACTGGTCGTTATAGTAAATTAAATCTCGCCTGCCCTCGTTTTAATCGGGAAACCGAGGGAGGGAGGACCTTTCTGTGGAACCAGCTACCCATTAACTTACGACAACAGTTGCTTCTTTCAGAAAGGCCTTTCACAGACTTTTCTTATCGAGCTATGATGAAGTAAAACTTTTCAGTTCGAATGCGATTTAACCTGACTCAAGCGGCATATTTTATTTTATCTAGTTTTTAGCTTATATCCATATAGGCCTGTCGACCAGTTTTATAATCCTCTGATACATTTGAATTCTAATTATGGTGCTTTTAGGATCGAGAGTCACTAGTTCATCAGTTTAATTACTGTTGCTGTTGTGTGTTGACCTCCTTAAATAAAGTTATTATTATTATAATTATCATTATTATTATTATTATTATTATTATTATTATGATGAAGCAAAGATCATCAAGCTGAAGAAGGAGAAATTCGAATTCAAATGAAACGAAGTGCCACTCATAGGACTTGTGATGATGAAGAATGGATTGAAGGCAGATCAAAGGAAATCATACGCAACAATCAAGATGGAGCGACCAACAGATATGTCAGCAGCACAGATATTTACAGGGCTGGTGAAGTATCTTTCTTAATTTCTTTGAAACCTTTCAGAAATGTGAGAGCGACTATACCGCCTGACATGCAAGAATTTCGAATGGATCTGGAATTATGAACACAAAGATGCCTTCGAAAAGATCATCAACGCTTTTTTCAAAGCACCAGTACTCAAGCACTTCAGCGAGAGTGACCTAATAGAAGGCCAAGAAGATGCTTCCAAGGATGTGTTTGGCTTTTTGCTGATTCAGAATAGTAAACCAGTAGAATCTGCAAGTCAGGGGGCACCCCCGATACGAGAGACGAAGTATTACCAGATCGAGAAGTAATTTTTGGTCCTGGTCTTAAGCATGGAGCATAACAATCAATATGTGTTCGGTGACAATGACATCGTGCGGACTGATCAAAAAGCCCTGCTCTTTATTATGCAGAAGCCCCTAGCATCAGCACCCAGCCTTGTCGCCACTTCAGCGGTGTGACTACGAGATACAAGCTTGGGGAAGGTATCCTGCTAGCCGGCTTTCTATCAAGACCTGTCATAAAGGACTGTGAGCTTTCATGCAGGACATGAAAGAGTTACGTTCTTTGGAATATTTGTGCCCATAACTATAAAACGTAACCTAAAAGCAGTATTACAAAGGTACTCGTACATCGGTCCTGCTTGAGCCAAGGGTCAAGAGTCAAAGAGGTCAAGAGGTCCAGGTTGTCAAAGCCACTCAAAATCAAAGGGGAAACTACTTAAGAGGAAAGCTAATTTAGTTTTTATGTTTGCGCGGTGATGCTCAAAGGACCGATAACAAAATCAATAAAAACAGAAGTAAACATTATAAGTGCGTTCCTGACTAAGACGTAGGGACAATTATTAACTTATCACAGGCGGTAACGAGATCTTGTGACTGAGTAAGGAGGCCTACACAGGGAAATTTGATCGCTATGGCTCTTTGTGCTTTTAGATTCTAGCCTCTGATCACGAGTCTAAGGTGACGTCCACAGCAAAGCAGTGCTCGTTCGCCGATGATGCAGGTAAGACAGGCTCTACTACGGAAATGAAGAGATAGTGGGACATTTTGAGTACCCTGGGTCCAGATTTTGGTTATCTCTTAAACAACAAAGAGCGACTTATTATCGCAAAGCCAGACAAGAAAGAAAGTGTGGAGAAGTATTTGAGGAAGCGGACGGCATGCTTCTGCCGCTTAGACACGCTGCAGAAGCATGCTATGCCACTTTACCTTCGGCTAAAAACATGGGCTTAATTTCGTAAAAAAGGCTGTGGTTATTCATCGTGGTGAATGGTTAGACTTAGTTTCTAAGAACACTGCCCGACATCCAGGATCGACTAGAGCCACTGCAGAATGTAATATCTCTGATTCCTATTCCTGCGATGAGGGAAAGCAAGTATAATCGGCAAAATAGAGGCATCCTAACGCTCCTAGTCCGGTTGCAAGGTTCCTGTGCATTACAGTTCCAAGCTGGGAAGCAAGTCGAGAGCTCGCTTCTTCAGTCAAAGTGACAAGGCCCCTTGTGGACCATATCGCATCTTCATCGCACTAGCTACCAGAAGAGTCTCTTGTCAAGTCGGCATAGAACGTAATAAGCTCCGGAAGAGCAGAAGAACTCAAAGAAAGAGCAGAAGAACTCAAAGAAAGAGCAGAGAGGATTAGGGTCAGGGGACCACCAAAGATCAAGCTAGTGCTAGACTT